ACAGAGCCAGGGCTTTGACCCATGACAGTGAAGGAACGGTGATATATTTCCAAGGCAGGATGGTGTGTGGCTTGCAGGTGATAGCATTTCTATGCATTGGCTGCCCTTTTCCTACCAACAGTTACAGGTCAAAGTTTGGAAGTTGCTGCTGAGAAATCTTCGGTGCATTATTGTGGTGACTCATGTAAATGGTGCAATGCTACTAAATGTCAAAAGGATGCTAGTTGGATGCGCTCTCTCAAGATGGTCATTGCCTGGTATGTGTGGAACAAATGCTACTTGGCACTTAGCCCAAACCTGAATCTTGTCCCATTCTTTACGGATGTGGGCACATACTGCTTCAGTATCTGAGGAATTGTGGCTGGTTCTGAACATTTCTGACCTGATGATGGAGTACCTAAAGATTTTTGGGCTTGGCACACTACCCTGAAGAACTCCTGAGGCTGAAATGATTATCCTCTAATAATCATCAAGCACACTTGCTTGAGTTTTGATGAGAACAACTCTTTGAAGTCACCAGAGGGTCTCCATTCCAAGTACATGAGCTGGAACGTGCAACTTTAAGTACTGATTTAGTCTCTACATCAGTAGTTACCTATGCTGTTGAGTAAACCTTCCATTAAAAAGCACAAAGGTCACAATTATTTTTGGAAAAATCAGTTCTAGTTTACCCATAGAACATTGTTGTATCTCTTTAACAAAACTAGACATTTCTCAAAGAACTATTAAAGCCATTTGGTATGAGGATAAGAGAAAAGAAAATGGCCTTAAAGTTATAGAATTTATTTACTTTAATTACTAACAATAAAAAAAAACTTACTAAAAGGTGCAGATGTAGGTGAAGATTATATGGCACTACTAGATAAGGTTAGCATGAATTGTAAAACCTGCAAGAATTTTGAAAGACACCCCCACATCTGACTGTAAACTTTCTATTGTGACTAAACATTGTTTACTTGCTAGAAGGTACATATATTCCTATGCAGGACCTTGTCCTATATAAGTGAAAAGAACATGTCCAGATATTGTGGCTTTTTCAACTAAACAAATGCTTATGAGACACCTGTTCTCTGCTGTAATCCCCATGATAACACCTTGATTTGAATTTAAACAAAAGTTTGGGATAACTTCACTAGCAAATGCTCTATGGCAATGCCTCAACTAGAGTCCGCTTACCAAACATTCAGCAACATTTTCTCCTGGACATTACCTTCTGTCCGTTCTGATAGCCCTCCTGCTCTAGTACCATTTTTTGAGTTTTTAAGTGCTTTGCACTCTGGATTGCAGGAGTTTTATTAAGGCAGAGATATCAGAATACAGGAGATATTGTTTTAGACCATCTGAGACAGAGCTCAATTCAAAAGATTTAGCATTTTACACAAAAGAAAGTCAAAGACAGCAGGAAGGACAGTACTTATCAAAAATGACAAACTGTTGTGGTTCATTTCTTATGATTAATCAGAATTAATTATAATATCTTGCAACCTCCGAGTAACCAATAACTAAAAGTGTCCTGTACATTGAAAGTTTGTGTTTTTTCTGATGGATGACTTGAGAACACAAAGTAGAATGCCAAAGTTGGGATGGTGGTAAGGACGAGTGATCATTATACACGCGACTGAACCATTACATCCACAGGACTATTGCCCACAATGGGTTGACGCATGCCATAGCTTTCGGAGGGGGCTAATGAATAGATTGTGGGATATGTAGCAAAAGCTACTGTTCGGTTTAAACATTAGTTGAATATTCAAGATAATCAGCATGAGAGGACTATGGACTGGCAGAATGAAATTAAAAATTGTAAAGTAAAGCAGCACAATGCAAATAGTTTATTTACTCAGTTGTGGACATAGGTATCCCTCAAGAAGGTGGTGTTGAGCTGCAATCTTCAACACACAATGCCCCTGGATAGGGAATTCCAGGATTTAGACCCAGCGACAGTGAAGGAACACTGACATGTTTCCAAGTCAGGATGGTGAGTGGCTTGGAGGGGAACTTGAAAATGGTGATGTTCTTATATATCTGCTATCCTTGTCCTTCTTGATGGAAATGGTTGTGGGTTTGGAGTTAGCTGTATCAGGATCTTCAGTGAATTTTTGCAGTGCATCTTGTAAATAGTACATACTGCAGCTGCTGAGTGTCGATGATGGAGGGAGTGGATGTGGTGTCAATCAAGCGGGTTGCTTTGACCTGGATAGTGTGAAGCTTGAGTATTGTTGGAGCTGCACTCATCCAGGCAACTGGGGAGTATTCCATCACACTCCTGACTTGTGCCTTGTAGATAATGGATTGGCTTCGGAAGTCAGGAGGTACCTTATTCATTGCAGTTTTCCTAGCTTCTGAGCTGCTCTTGTAGCCACTTGTATTTATATGACAAGTCCAATTTTTTTATTCCTTATTCATTTACGGGATGAGGGCGTCGCTGGCTAGGAAGCATTTATTACCCATCCCTAATTGCCCAGAGGGCAGTTAATAGTCAACCACATTGCTGTGGGTCTGAAGTCACATGTTGGCCAGACCAGGTAAGGATGGCAGTTTCCTTCCCTGAAGGACATTAGTGAACCAGATGACAATCGACAATGGATTCACAGTCATCATTAGATTCTTAATTCCAGACATTTATTGAATTCAAATTCCACCATCTGCTGTGGTGGGATTCGAACCCGGGAGCCCAGAACATTATCTGGGTCCCTGGATTAACAGTCCAGCGATAATGCCACTAGGCCATCACCTCCCCAATTGAATTTCTAGTCAAAAGTAACCCCGAGGGTGTTGTTAGTGTATATTGTCAGAGTTACTGGGTGATTGCGAATTGCGAATGGGTTTCCCCAATGCTGGAAAGGTAGTAGGACTTCAAGTTTGTTAACAGAAAAGCTGCATTCCTGCAAGCATTTCAGAGAAGCATTTCTAAAACCACTTAAAGGGGCAGCACTTGCAAAAGGTAAATAAACAAATATGCTGATGGACAGAATTATGCAACAGGGTTGTGGTATTTTTCAGTAAGATCTGTTCTCTGGAAAATAAGTTGTGCTTAAGTGATTTGAGAAATGCATTAGTAAGATTACATAATATTTGAAATTGGAAGTTAGGACTGTGGGGCCAAACTGGATCTGGTTTAAAATTAAATCGAGTAAAATTGAGACTGTGGTACTTCCAACCCAGTGTAGTTGTACAAGGTCATCACAGAAAAGTGAAGTGGTATCTGAGGAAGAGACAAAGTAATTACAGCACAAAGCTTGATTGGCTAGGTAAGCTCGTAGTGCACTCAGAATCAACAAGGTACTAGTTTTGAGGTGCTGAAATTAAGTATTTTTTTGATGAAAAAGCAGAAGTAAATTTCAAGGGCAAATCAAATAAAATTAAAATCTGGCAAAAATAGTTAACTACCCATCCTTAAATGGCCTGAAAAACATGAATGAAACTGGTTATTTTTTTCATAAAGCTTCATACACCAGAGTAGTTGGTTTCACTGAATTTCTTTTCAAAGAGAATGAGAAATGTCATCCTTTACCCTGGGAAGCTATGAAATGACAGTTGTTGAAGGTACTCCGGGTGCTGAAAAACTGACCCTTGTGCAAATGTGATTCTCTTTGACAAATATTTTAAGCAATATTCTGTAAAATAGGAGTACTGAAGATACTACATCCACGGTGGGATAAGGTGCTCTATGAAACATGAGTGTGCCAAAGTTGTAGTTAGATCCTGTTGGCTTGAAACTAATGCAGAAATGAAAGCAATTTCTGAAATAAATGGCTGGTTTAAAGTAATTAACCATTAGCCCTTTTCAGTAAAGGAAGTCAAAGAAGTTATTAAGGGTTCTGGAGGAGGGTGATCTTGCAATGCAAGGCTTTGAACATAATATGGAAGTCTTTATGTGTATGACAATTTTAAAAAAAGTTTTATTTAAAGACAAGGAAGGAACTGTTTATCGCTGTGTATTAATTTATCTAAAGGATAGTGAGCATTAATTGGGGACTCACCTACACTCAGAGCAGGCAGAAAGGAGGATTATTAGTTGGAGGTGCATGATGTACAATATGTCTGTAAATAAAAGCTTATAAGTATATAAAAACTAAGTTCTGATGTTCTGTCATTTATTGCCTGGCTTTCTAAATACAAACCAACGCTCACCATAATATCCTGTCAAATTTAATACAGATGTGTGGAATATGTACTATAACAACAACACAGTGTTTGTAATGCTGCAAACCACACCACTGACAGAACTTGTAGGTCACAAAACCTCAGCAAAATGAAATCCAAATTGGTAAAGGTATTGAATTGTATTTAGTAGAATATCAAACAGCAGACTACATTACCCAAATGCAAACTGTAGTATAATGTAATCTAAGCCATATGGTCTGGATTTCTAAAAACAATCATGTGCGTCTGTCATCCTCTTGGAAGTATTTCGTAAAATACACCTTTGACTAACTCAATTATCCCCATTTGGTAGGCTTCCTGTTTTTAAGCTATATCTATGTTCCATTGTGAAAGGGCACCACATGAATTGAACGATATGCTTGTTGGGAGTAGGTACATGCCACACACAACATATATGTTACATACAATCTCTCTCCCTAAACATATATGCAGACTACATACGCCACTCTTGGTGTATCCCTCACCTACCCAGAAACTTGGAGGTTAAAACCCTACTTTTGATGATCAATCCTAGTTGATACTGGAAACAGACTACTGCGATAGGCTCTGGGTTAGAGCAGACTACACAGACAGGTGCCAACCTTCAGATAATCCAAGGCCATGTTTGCCCTCTCGGGGGCATGTAGAAGTTCCTACGGTACTATTTCCAGGGTGATCTCCCCGATGCCCAATAATTTCCCTTCAGTTAACCTGATTAAAGCCAGAATATATCTGGTCACGGTCACAATACGGCTTCTGGGATCCTTCTGTGCGCATTTTGACTGCCCTCTTCCCCACAGCAGCGTGCTACTCATTTGAGAAATGTTTCCAACGGTTACGGAAGGGCTCCTCACCTCGGCTCTCCCTCTCTGTCACTGACAGCACCGAGCGCTCCCGCACCATTCCCGGTGCCTCCAGCGGCCGATCCCCAACCCGGCTCCGGCCGCGCCGAGAGGCCGCTACCGGAAATCTTCTCACCCGGTCCCACCGCTAAATACCTCCCCCACTTCCGCTGCAGGCCGCGGGTCCGTCACCTTTTTCTGTCCGCCGTTATCTAGTGACCAACAGGCGATACAGAGCAAAGAAAATACCGGCCACCGAGAGGTTCGGTACGGCCTCGGTCTGGTATAAGTTTCTAGAAGGTGAAGGAACTGCCTGGTGAGTAAGGAGATTGTTTGGTTTCCAAGGCTTGTTTTTGTAGTATTTCTGTATCTCTGGCTATAATCAATCATGGGTTTACACCCTAAAGAGAGGTCATGACACTAGATCATTAATCCATCTGCCCTGGGTACAGGAGTTATAAACCAATCTTGGCAGCTGGTGAAACTTAATTCAATTGATAAAATCTCGATTCTAAAGTCAGTCTCAGTGATGTCACCAATAATAACGCTGCTGTAAAGGCTTAGCTGTCTTATTAGTGCAGTCTGAGGAAGGAAAGCTGCCATCATTCCTTACTTTGTGTGTGCTCTTGTGTGATCTCTGCAAACAAAACAAGTTGAGGTTTTGTAGTGGGGTTGCTGGTGAAACGCTGGGAGTAAAAATGAGTACAGTTCTCCTCTCAGACATATATTGTGGGTGTGAAACATTTAAAGCTCAAACATCTAACAACTTCTGTTTTTTTTGTGATAGTCCTGCTGTATTACCATTTTTTGAGCTTTTAAGTGATTTATGTGCAGGGAGGAGTAATCAAAACTGAACTTCCAGAACACTGAGGTACTGTTTTAGACCATTTGAGAATTCAATACAAGGTATTTTAGTATATTGTATGAGAATGGGCAATGGAGAACAGAAAGGACAGTACTTATCAAAAAAAGAATGCCCCTGGCAGCAAATAACCAAGGATAAATGATTATTCCCTCATGGGATAATTGAATGAATTAGCTTTATTGTCACGTACTCAAATGAGTAGAGTGAAAAGTTTATAAATTGCCATTTACAGTGCCATGTGAGGTACAAAGGTATGTAGGTACAGCTTCTTCAGTTACAGGACTAGCTACACTGTAACTAATGTCACCTGGACATGGTGCCATCTTAGGTACAGATTACCCACATACAATCCTCAGTTACAGAATAGAGAAATGGAAAGAAAGTTACATACAGTATAACCAAAGTTAAAAAGACAAACATCACAGTCTCGCTCCAAGGGCTCCCAGCAGCAGATAAGCGCAGGGGGTCTCTACATGGTCTGACCACTGGCTGCCACCACACTCTGCACTGGGCCAGGCAGCTGGTCGCTGGCATCCCTGCTTGGCTGCTGACCCCACTTCCAAGGCCGAGAGGCCGAGAAGATGGAAGAGGAGAGGTAAACCACAGATGGGAGGAAAAAAAGAACAAGAACGGGCAGAATGGATGAGCTCTGGCTGAAGCATCAAACTCTGCCATCATCTTATTGGATGGTCCTGTAAAATGTGGGGTAATTGAGCTTAATGTGGTTGGCTCTTAACTGCCCTCAAGCGTGATTAGGAATGGGTGACAAATGCATTCCTTGCTAACAACTAATGAAGGAATTTTTAAAAATCCAGGACATGTTGTGAGATTCATAACTCAATCAAAACTTATTCACTTGCCCAGAATTAAAATTTTTATCCAAAATCTGATTACCTTCTGCCAACTTGGTTTGAAAAATGCAGATGAGAACCGTGAAAGAAATGTAGAGTTGCAGTTTTGGTGCCCTTCATCGGAAATTAAGAATCTATATTTAAACTCTATCCTCATTTGACCTGTCATTTTTGGTTCCTATCCACCTGAGCTAGATCTTCTTTCAACCCAGTTTAAGTTATCTATCTTCTGGTTTGGCAAATTCACTTTACTTTATACCTTGTTATTTTCCCTGACTGTACAAAGCCTGTGATATTATGAGTACTGTTCCCCAAAGGCTCCCTCACTGAAATATGTTCCATTTTGCCTACTTCAGTCCAGCCCTACTTCCTTCCTCATTGGTTATAAAACATGCTGATCAAGAAAGTTGTACATATTTTAGAAATTTCCCTGCCTCACTCCTTGCAGTCTTTTTCTGTGATATGACATGACATTTGAAGCCACCCCAGATATCGCTGCTTAAATTCTAAATCCTTCTAAATAATGCATGCAGATTTGCTTCTCCATCTCCATCCCACTATTTGTTGTTCTACACCTTCTTTATTTGTTCATGGGATATGGGAATCACTGGCTGGGCCAGCATTTAATGCCTATAGCTATTGCCTTGGAGAGGATGGTGGTCTTCTTGAACAGCTGTATTCCTTCTGGTGTAGGGACATCCGCAGTGCTGTTCAGAAGGAAGTTCCAGAATTTTTACCAAGTGACAGTGAAGGAATAGTTCTGAATCAGGATGGTGTGTTGCTCAGAGGGAAACTTGTAGACGGTTGTGTTCCCATTGAGCCTGTAGTGTAGGTAATGAATTTTGGTGCTGGATGGGGTCCAATCAAGCTAGCTGTTTTTTTTTCCTCTGGGATTAAGCATCTTGAGTGTCTTAGGAGCTGGTTGACAAGCTTTGGGGATACGGGAGATGAGTTGCTCGCTGCAGAATTCCTAGCCTCTGGCGTGCTGTTGTGTCAAGGTATTTATATGGCTGGTCCAGTTCTGTTTTTGTCAATGGAAGGCCCTAGGATGTTGACAGTGGGCAATTCAGTGATGGTAATGCCATTGAATGTTAAGGGGTATTGGTTAGATGCCCCTTGTGCACCATGCATGTCATTTGCCATTTATCAGCCCTAACTTGGATATTTTACAGGTCATTTGGATATGCATTGCTTAAGTATCTGGGGAGTTGCAAATGGTGATGACCATCCATCAGTTAATATTATCTACTTCTGACATTGTGATGAGGGAAGGTCATTGAAGCAGCTGAAAATGATTGGACTGAGGACACTACTCTAAGGAATTCCTACGGCTCTCATGGCGTAGTGGTATTGGCCCTGCCTCTGAGCCAGGAGGCCTGCTCCAGAGGTATGTAATGTCATAACAGAACATGTTGATTAGAAAATATCTACCCTGAGGAGCTCTGCTGTAATGCCCTCAAGCTAAAGTGATTACTCTCCAACAAGCTCAACCATCTTCTTTGTGCTAGGTATGAGTCCAAGCAGAAGAGAGCCTTCCCTCTGATTTCCAATGATGCCAGTTTTGCTCCAGATCTCCTTGGTATGACACTCACTTAAATGTTGCCTTAGTATAAAGGGCAGTCGTTCTCACCTTGTCCCTGGAATTCAGTTCTTTTGCCCGTGCTTGAACCAAGGCTGTAATAAGGTCAGGAGCAAAGTGGAATGGAGTACATTCTGAGCCACGAAGTTACAGATTGTGTTTGATTACAGTTTTGCCGCTGTTGCTGGCCCATAGAGCCCAATTTTGACTTGATCTGTTCAAAATCTGTCCTATTTAGCACCGTGGGAGGGAATCCTCAACGTGAAGATGAGACTTTGCACAGCAACTGTATATAGCCACCAGCATAACTTCTATTTTACTCCATAATGCTAGGCATTTACTTACATAAAACCTCAAGAACATCAACCTCTCTAGCGCCCTGACAGTATCTTTGATCATTCCGGCATTTGTTTGCTCCCCATCTTTCCTGAATGCAGTAATGGCCAAATGGCCAGGGATATGAAGTTCCCAATCCTACCCTTGTTAGAGCCGGGGCTCCATAAATGCCACGATATCATAACACTGTGGATACTTGTGCCTGTGGTTCACCAATATTTATCTTGCTTAGGAAATCAATTTAGATCCTGGCTATGCTGGCCTGTTTTGTGGATTTGTGAAAAACATTCTGTGTTCCAATTCTAGTTGGGTCCTCCCCTGCTTCACACCGTGGACTGGACAACTCTGGAAACTGTACAGTGAAGATATGCTGCAAAAGGAAGTGCAAGATGATGAGTGCAGAGCTGACATCACCATCTGGTGGCAAAAGAAAGCTATTGCACTTGGTATTTACAATCCCTCAGTCAAAAGACCAATCATTCTGCTTGACTTCCGATGCCAAACTGGATCGGGCACTTTTTTTAAATTGAAGTCATTCGACCTTAGTGCATTTGCAATGATGTATATATGGCACATTGAAATTATCACAATTTCTGTGCCTAATAACTAGTAAAATAAAAGTAATCATCAATATCGTGTGTTATTCTGTAGCACTACAACCTTTTATTAGCAATTAGCTTAAATTAAAGATCTGCTTGTTTGCTCGGACATAATTTTACAACAAATAATTAATTTAACCAAATTTTAAATTGCTTTGCGAAAAGTAAATCCACAAAGTCTTGTCATGCCTTTTTTCTGGTTTTTGAAATACTTCTTCAGGCTTCTTGTTTTCTTTTTATAATTCTGGACATTCTTTCATTGAGCTATCATAATCTGGCTGCCCTGAATATTAAGTGATTGCTGCTTCACCAGTCGTGAGCAGACTCTCTTTAAATTCAAATTGCAAAATTCAGTCCCATAGGATTCCTATTCTTCTCTCCTCAGTTTCCCACCCAGCAATATATAAAAAAGAAACTCTGACCGCTGAAGCCAGCGTAGATTCATCCATCTTAAAGTTTTTCATCTGGCATAACTTTTCCTTCCTGCCTGCTTATGTTCTAGGGGAGTGGAGCATGTGCCATTCCAACCCCTCATCCCCCATCCAATTGCTTGATAATTATAGGACAGTCACCCAATGTAAACACCTCCAATTCCAACCCCTAGTCCATAAAATCATCTCAATGCTTATCTCTTCTAAGTATATCACATGAGTTTCACAGTTGTTCAGGTAAGTGAACATGAGAATCCC